GATGGGAGTGTTCATAAAAGGAGGTGGATCAAATTCAATGTGGTGGAATGAAGGAGCTGGTAGCATCAAGGATTGCAGGAAGGTACGGTCTATGAAAGGCAAAATGTTAAGGGAATGAACTCGAGCCATGTCAGACCAGCTATTGATGAAGTGGAATGCTGAAGACCCATCTGCTAAGGAATGATGACTGAGAACAGCAAGGGAGATTCCTCCACATTGGAAAGTAGTCACCTTGCAAAATCAACATATATAACAATTTTTTTATAGAGGACTTATATACCTTTTTTAATCTCAAAATAATTATATTTTTCTTGATTTAAAATTTATTTCAAATTAATTGTTTTTTTTATTTTTAAGAAGAACTCTAACTTTAATTATTCACCCTCTTATTAAAATTTTCTAAATCTTTATCTTCTTTTTTTAAGAGAATATAGGTGAATATATACATAAATTATTTTTAAAATCTTAACCACTGGTTTGGCTTAATGAAGAGAGAAAAAAATCATAGATTTTATTGAAAAAAAAAAAAAAAACTAGATCTAAATGGAGAGGGTACTACTAATATAGTGAGATAAAACAAGATACATAGACTCATGTACCTGTATCAGAAGAAGCGGATAAGAGGAGATATCTCCGGAGTAATCAGCTGTCGGAACTAATTGTTGAAGTTGTGGGCTTGGTGCGAAATCGCGCAAGTCGTTGAGAACGCCATCAGCTTCAGCTTCTATGAATAAGACCCCCTCGGCGTTGCAGATTATCTCAATTCTCCCGCTCTCATCCCTCCCCAGCCTACCGGCCATGGGGTAAAATGGCACCAGAACATTGCTTAAAGCTTCCTTGAGCACTTGAGCTTGGAAGAAATCAGCGGAGCCGTTTGGTTTGTAGAAGAACAAAAGTGGCACATGATTCCTTGGCATCGTTCTCAGGTCCAACCTAGACATCCATAAGCGCTTGGCTGGTGTATCTCGAGCAGGGCGAATATTGCTAGTCTCCTTTACGGTAATATTCAGCATCTTTTCACTACATTAAGAAAGCATCTTTTGTAAGTAGGTTTCTTAGAACTGAGAAAAGTATGCAATCTGAGTAGAGTTTTACTGTGTTTTGCTTATTCCTTTTCAGTTCCTGGTTTAGGCAAATAATAAAGTTGAAGTAATAATTAAGAAAAACTACTAAGAATTAGAATAAAAACTCAAAAATGTAAACCTTTTCACGTTCCTTACTCCTTACAAGATCGGTGATAAGTTAGAGATATGAAATGGAAGAACTCCGATTTGTACAGTATAAGAAAGTGTGGTAGAGATGAAAAGTTGGAAGCGAAAGGGTGGTCCCTTACTTGTACAACTTGCCATGTCTTTGTGGCATTAGTGCTTACAACTGGTCTGCACTATGAAATAACAATTATCAAATTTATGATGTCCAAAAAAAAAAAAACAATTATCAAATTTAATAATTTTTTCTATGTGTAGTTAGGAATTCAAATTCATCTCATTGGAAGAAAGAAACATTTGCTTCCAGTAGTGACTCTTTTTTTTTTTTTTTTAATCAGCGGTTTCAATGACTTATTGTTCCTCAACATTTTTCTCTATCTTTCATATCAGGTCATTGTTATATTTCAATCACAAATAAAATAATAATAATAATTAGTAAATTTATCAAAAAAATATAAATAAAAAATTATCATCAAAAGAAGTATAAAATATTTACTTTAAGGCCATTCACATATTTATAGAGAGTAGATTAACTAGTGCATTATAGATATATATAGTACGTCACCTCAAAAATACTATAATTTATAATAACACTTTATGAATCTGTATTACTCATAAAGTCATCTAAGTTAAAATATCATTCTTTATTCAAGAATATTTAAAAGATAAAATAAGAGAATATAAAGGAACACACTTTTTTGAGTAAAAAAAAAAGTTCTATTTATAGGGCTTATGATAATATAATTCTCATTTATAGGTTAATGACATAAATAAATTGGATAATTATTATGAAATAATATACCTTTAAATAAGAAAATTAATTTATAACGACTAGTTTGATCAAATTCTTAATGAAACAATAAATTTAATTTATAAAATATATTATTTTATTTTTTATTAAAATATTTAAATTTCAGTGATAGTTATGTAATTAACTTGGTTGTGATAGGTAACATGGTGTGATTGTAACTTCTCTGAATTTTTTGCCCATTTTAACAGAAGAAATGTGCGGGAAGGAGAAAAGGAAAAAATGATTTTTTTTCCTGTTTTTTCTTCTTTTTAATATAAAAAAGGTTAAATATCTATTTTAATCCCTGAAATTTTAATTTTGAATATTTTT